ACCTGGAGAAAACAGCATTTATACTTTATATGGATATAAAAAAAATTCCATGCATATATTCTAAGCACATACCTTAGCACAGGCTGCCTCACTGGGTGCATATGTCCATAAACTGGACTCTAAAATAAACTCTGGAAGCTTTCAGATTAATTAACAAATAAAAGACACGGAAAGTTGTTCAGCCTGCAGTTACATCTGTGAACAAGATTCTCATGATAAATTCATTTTATTTGTGTTTTTAGACTGTAGTTGAGGAATGGCTTGAGGAATTATAGTTGTTGCTACAGAGAAACAACGAGCTCAAGAGGAATCTTGGGATGAGCAAAAGCAGGTTAGAAAACACAAAACCAGAAGGATGGCTATTTTGAAAATAAATAGCACGTGACTTCTACCCCAATCAGAAGGGCTACCAGAGTATTTTCTGACTGTCTCTTTGAAATACTTTCTCTGTTTTTGTGACTTCTGCCTCCTGTCTTGAAAAGGGGGACTATCTCTGTGTCAGAATTAGGTGAAGAAAAGAAGCATGAAGAGAAACACTGACCTACAGGATCATCTCATGGTTTTAAGCTTCAGAGCAGCAAGCTCAGATTATTCACAGGGACCTTGAGGCTGGTATTCAGCAGCCACCAGCCTATTCACACAGGGGAAGCTGACACTTGAGACAGTCAACAGGTCTTGTTTTTGATGTCTGCTCAACCCTAGGGACATGGGCTTTCACAGAGCAGCAGTACCATGACTTTACTTAAGTGATCATCTGACCCACGGGAAAAGCTGTTTAAATACCTCTATGACACTGAAGAAGCCCAAAAGGAATTGCTTTCCTGCCCTTTTACCTACTAGCACTGGGGGTTAGCACATGCCTGTGACAGCAGCCTGCTAATCCTAACAGGAGAACTGATGCTTAACACTCAGTGACTTTTTATCTCTTTGATCACAGAACACAGATTAAAACTTCCTGTCCTGAACCAAAACTTCAGCCTACAAAAGAAGGATATGCAGCATAAGGGCACCTTGAAAGAATGTTTCTTTGTGACATATGGACCATGTTTAAACAGTCCAATTGCCTGTGCCAGTTAAATCGGTGCCAACCAAACATCTAACCCAACTTCAACAGAGCATTCTTCCAAGTAAGACTGTTGCAGAATATTAGAGGCTTCCTTTTGACTTTTCAACACACATTTGAAATTCTGCATTTTCATTCAACTCACAAAAATCTAGAGGATGAGATAAGAAAACAAGTCATGATAGAGACTGCACACTTTACCTATCATTTGATGGGAAAGACATTGTTATTTGTTTGATTAAACAGTGCATAATTAAAAGTCAATATGCAAGAACGTTATAGAATCTGTGTAACTAGTCAAATTTCTGTCAAAGACAATGTCTAATTTACAGGAAATCAGTAATAAAATGTTTGTTTTCAACAAAATTATTTGTATATTATGAAAGTAAATCCATATTGCTTTGGGTTCACAGATAAACATCCATGGGCAAAGTCCACGAGAAGGTGATCCAGCTTAGGCACTGACCTAAGAAGAGCTATTCAGGGAAGATAAATTATAGTTTACTTCTTCAGGTCTCTAGCACATTGTGCAGAAATGAGTTTAGTTCCTTTGAGAATATCTGTCACATCCAAGCAGGGAAGAATACCTTAATAGGCTGTGCCCATTTCATAATGCATACAAGACAGGCTCTCCAGAGGAGGGAGAGGAGTTGTCTCATGTTTAAAAGTTTCTGAGCACAAGCCTGTTAAGAAAGTTGGCAATCAACTTTCTTAATCAATTACAGAAACTAATCCAGTCAATTAATGACTACTGTTTGTTAGCAAAGCACCACTGGTGTGAAATAATTTCATTAACTGTAACAATATACATGCTACATTGTGCCCTAGTCCAGACAGTACAGCAGCCAGATTTCTAAAGCCTGATGAGTGGCAACTACCCAAATCAAAGGCAACAAAACCAGTAATCCTAAGGATTTTACTTCGAAAAGAATTTAAAAGGAAATAGTACCTATTAGTACTTGACTGGGGCATGTAGGACAATAACAAAGGGAATCTACAGATTGAAATGGTATACTTCCAAAAAGTTCTTCCAAATGCCTGAAAACATTTCCAAAAGGATTTGTTTCTGCCAAGAAAAGCAGTCTCTTTTCCATTGTTGCTCAAAGTGCCAGGCATGGTAGGAGCTCACAGAGACAGGGAAAGAAGCCAGACCCAGCCAGCTCCTGTTGAGGATTGGAAACAAGCCAAAGAGCCAAGCCTGATTTGCAGAGCCCAGACTGAGATCCTGATCTCAGCCTCCAAACTGCTTGGGTCAGCCTGAAATCAGACTCCTTGCTCTGGACCTCTCCTGAGCTTGGCTTGGCTGAATGAATTACACCTTTTCTGTTCTGAGCAGAAATGAGGGGGTGATTTGACATGCAAACAGCACAGCACTGCAGCAACAAGCACATGAAAGGTAAGAGATGCTGCTGTAAAGGAAGCCCCAGAATCTGTTTGCATTTTGAGCACAGACACAGCCAGTGAGTGTACAGTGTCACAGCACTGGACCAGACCTCCACAGAGGGAGAGACCATAGGGACTGAGTAGGGAGACGATTCCCTTTGATTTCATGATTCCTTTCACATTCCTTTACTAGGTAGCAGGACTGATGTGCTGATACTACAGCAGTTTTAACCTGAATAACAGCGCTTGGAGCCTGAAGCACTTTGCAGTCCTGCCCCTCTTCTCCCCAAGTGACACACTGAGCTCCACGTGTGCCAGTGCAATCAGGACAGGCAGTGCTTCAACTCTATGTCACAAACATCCTAAACCTATTTCCCTCTGACTGCAGGTGGCCAGAATCCATTTTGGAGGCAGGTTGAATCCACACTTGAGCTTTGAAAAGTTGCTGCCTGGGGTTGAGGCTTGAGGGGGGACAGGGATAGAGAGAGTCGAAAGAGATGCCTGACTGCCTAGTGCAGAGCAGTGGCAAAGCATCAGCCCCGACATCCCTTCCCCCTCCTCCTACAAACCCTACAGAAGTTTACACTAAGCTGTAGCAAATTTCTCTGAATCCACCACCCCCTTCCCAGCCACCCCCTCCTCCTGCACTGGCTGCAGTTACATAACCTCTTGCAAAGACTTTGAAAATCTTCCAGTCATAATAAGAGAGGAAGGAAATTATTACTTCCCCAGCACATGAGCAGAGGAAGAACACTGCTTTGCTCTGTGGGTCATGTATGGCTGGGCTCTCATTAGTTAGAGTAGAAATTCCACCCTGCTGAAGTCATCAGGAGTTTGGCATTGGATTTTATCCTTGGTAAATGTCTACGCTGTACCCTTTGAAAGCACTGGCTGATATCTCAGCATCTCCAAACTAGCTGAACCAGGAATTTCAAGTTTGGAGATGATTCTCTCACAGATGGAGTACGAGGTTTGAGTAAAATCCCTGTTAGTTCAGCTGGGACAGCTCAGCAAAGCGAGCTCCACATTATTGCCTCACAGTGACCACTCATAGCCTATTGAGCACCAAGTGTCCTCACAGGGCTTGCAGAAGCTTAGACACACCAGACATTTTAAAACACTGGAAAACGCGGTGAATTTTTATGGAAAGGTTTTCCTATCTGCAAGCACTCAACTACTTAAAACAAAATGTATTTTTCAAATGTGTGCAGCAGTGATTTGGCATCTTTATGTTAAAATTAACTAATTTTATGGTGTTACCTTCTGGCTGCTTCTCATGACAATATAGAGTTTGCAGTTATAGCCCATTATAAACGGGAAGGGCTGCAGGAGGGTGTTAACAGCCTATTTAGGATATAAAGCATCGTGCAGCACACAGATTTAAATTCAGGTGCAGTATAAGGTCAGCCTTGAATTGTATGTATAATATGTTTGTCAGGCACCCCATGTGTAAAACTGACAGCTCTAACCTAGTTGCCACAGGCTGTTCTATACAGTTGGGAATATTATGTCTCTCTGACTTCAGTGATGTACACTTGAAAAGAAAATTGTTTCATTTTGAGGAAACTTGGAAAGTCAGAGCCTATTGCATTAACGAAACACAACCCAAACTTTCTACTTAAAAAGGCTATTTGGAATTAATTAAAATTAGCTCATGACACAATTACATGCAATACACACACATTAATAATAATAACAATAATAAAGGAAAAATGAAGCTCACATAGTCCAGTTTTATTCCTGTATAAATTTGACACGTGTAAAGTCTGGCTTTGCTCTCCTGTGTTGGGAATGTGAGTGGAATGCTTGGAGCAGTCTGAATTCCAGGGAGTGCTTGGTGCAGGGCTCTGAGAGGAGTGCACAGAGCCAGCAGCACTCACAGCTCTTTGCCTCCTGCAGTACTTGAACTTCATGTTCCCTGCATGATCCTGGAATTCCTGCTGCACCAAGGTAAGGGGGCTGCTTTCCCACTGCTGCCTTTAGGACACAAGCTGTTTGTCACCACCACCTCCATCTCGTGAAGCTGCAAAGCTGTGGCCCTGCCTGTTCCCAGCTGATTTGGTAATAACTAAGTTTTGTTGTCCCTGTTTTACATTTAGTCTGCTCTAACCTGGACAGAATAACCCCGTCATGCAGTGAAACATGAGCAGTCCATGGCAGAGGCAATGCTCTAGAGCAAATAAATTGAATTTAAACACCAGACCACTTCTCACCTCGAGCAATCCTGCCCTTCATAAAGGAAAGGGTAGTGGAATGAGAAAGGCAAGATTAGGAGGAGTGTGTTGAAGAAATTCAGGCACATAAGAGCACCATAGCTTGCCAAATAATGGATCTGGAATAGAACTGTTCCTCAATCTACTGCCCCAGCAGAAAGCCCTCTCGCTTACACCACGTGTAACCACCAGATTGAAACAGAGGAGGCAACATTGTACAGCAATTGCAGAAATGACAAAGGTGGAGGCTCTGACAGGACAAGGACTGACCAGCACTAGGATACCATCTCTTTGTTATGTCCCACAGTTTTTCCAGTGAACAACAGCACTGCTTTCAATCACTTCTCCCTCACTTTCTCAGAAGAAACGGATGCTGATTTATCAGGCCATTGCACACTAATCTAAAAAGTCCAGCTCTTCACAGAAAGGTCTGAAGATACAGAAGTTTTTATGAGTTCTCTTGGGACTTGGCTTCTCAACTGGTGTAAAACAACACGCATTAATGTCAAATGGAAATACGCCAATTTATATCGCCCAAGGATTTTGTAGCTTTATTCCTTATATAAGTGCTCTCAATGTCTTTCAGTCACCTCCTTAAAAGGTACAATTCAGATCGAATATCTATCATCCTTCTATATTTCTTATCTTGACTTTAAATTGGAAAGGAAAATAACAAGCTGTCTGCAGAGTAATCAGTTGCTATAGTAAACACTACTTTAGCATACAATGCAGCACTTATCTCTGTTCTCTTTAATTAAATCTGTGGTATACACTGTCATTTGTCTATGCAGAGAAAGTGTTCTTCTCACCAACCAGAAACTTAACTGCACTAATTAACTCTTTGGCTTTAGAACAAATTAGGAAAGAGGTTAAATTGGCCTGATTTTCCTCAGACAGTTTTCCATTTCCCATGTCACTGCAGACAAGTCCCTTTTGTGTCTCAGCACTTCTGATGAGCAGAAACTGCTGTGAACCAGTAAACTTCAGCATCCAGTTGTAATGATGGAAAAAATACTTACACTATGTAAGAAAAGCCATTTTTACAGACCTTATTTATCTTCTAAGGATAACGGATGTTCCAAGCCTATTGTTTAACTGACTGTATGAATTTTCAAGTTGGGAGGATCACATGCAGGCACTGTCACTAGTGAAGGACAAAAGTACGAAGAAGATACTCACAAAATAAATGTGAGACTGATGATTTCAAGCATTTAAGCGAGTGAACATTTGGATCTGAATTGCTGATGTGTGAATATATATAAAACAAATGATACATAATTTGTTCAGCTGGTCCAAATCACTGAAAGGTCCTTCTGTATCAGAGAAAATGGTCAGGCTTATGCCAGCAAAGTGTCTTGCCCTACAATCTGAAGAGAAAGGCAGTATACTGTCTTGGGGAAGTCTCCAGGAAAAACATAACCAAAGGCATGTTTTCCTACTGCTGACAAATCACCAAGAAAGACATTTTAACAGAAGCTATTAAACCCAGGCAGCATTTAAAAGCAAGATGCCCAGGCAGAAGCACCCAACAACTCTCTTCAGTGGAGCCTTTGTGCCCCAGCTCCGAGAGCCTGTCATTCTGGTGCCTCTGCCTGTCATTCACACAGGTTTAGGACCCCACTCTGCACCCAGGTATGTGCAGACCTTGGCTCTGTATTACAGAGTTGTAGAATCACAGAACATCCTGAGCTGGAAGGGACCCTCAAGGATCATCAAATCCAACTCCTGGCCCTGCACAGAGCAGCCCCAACAGTCCCACCACGCGCTTGAAGAGCAGATACTTGAAGCACAGTTTGTTCATGAGCTCACGGCTTCAAACCCTGCGATAGACCCTAAATAATCCAGACTACAAAAAGCAGGAAGAACACAGCCCTGGTGGTGGAATATTGCCCGAATTTCCGTCAATGCCCTTTGCAGGGGTGATGTTTCTCTCTGGTGTAACACTTGTAGCAGTCAGTGCATATCCTTGGTACAGAGACGTGGAAATGCTGTGTTGTTTCACAGTTCTGTGGTGGGGCCCATGGGCACTGATCTAATTTCACTGCATCACAAGAAGGCACCTCTAATATTTCAGCACAACATACAATGGAGCTGGAGCCGGCACAGCCACCACACTGCGGGTACAACCCTGTCATTTCAATTCTTTATGCTTTCTTCACCAGCAAAGTCTCATCTCCCCACTCTAATTGTATCAGCTAATAACCAATAACAGCCTCAACAGTGGACAATTATTGAAAGTCAAGGAACAAATTTGAACGATGAAGCAGCAGTTCACAGTCCTGATCCAATCCTAAGTAGTAGCAGTGGGACAAGAGTGGTATAAAAGGGTCTTTTGATTTGTAATCTAAAGGAAAAGCAGGAAGCCATGCTGTTCAATCTTCATAGTGGTGTTGCTTAAAAACCACATCAGTGTGACCTGAAGTTTTAGAATGACAAACAAACAAACAAACAAACAAAAACAAAACAAACAAAAAAACCCCCACACAGAATCAAATAATGTAAATCTCTTGGGTTCAAAAGGTCATATTTCAACTGACTTGGCATTTGGATGTGCATTTTTTAATTCCAGTAAAATAATATTTCCCATAAAGAGCAATAATTTTCAATAAATAAATAAATATATAACAGTGAAACATCAGAAATACAGGGTTTGACAGGAAATTTTCAATTTACTTCAGCATAAATATATTATGGTGTGCTTAAGAATTATCTCATGCTGAAATATAAAAAAAAAAACCAAACAGCAAAGCCACAGGGCACACCAGGACCCTCTGCACATCTATTTTTCATAATTGCACTATACTTTTATTTGTGCAAAACTATCATCTCTTCCTGGGGTAGAGCCCCTAAAAAACTGATACTCTCATTGATCAGCACAATGGACAGCACAGTGGAACTTCCTTGGAAAGGTTTCTGGTATCGAAATTCTCTTTCAGCATCTCTCTGAGCCACCTCCTCCTTTTCTCCCCTTACTAAGAAATTTTAAAGGAGGAGGAAGGAGATCAGCCCTGTGGAAGCCACACAGGAGTTTGCAGAAGGCTGTGCCACCTGTGAGTGCCAAACTGCAGTTCCAAGTAATCTGCTCGGCCAGTAATGGAATGAAGAAGGGAATACAACCCTAAACTACCTTTACTTCAAGGACTGCAATCTGCTATAGAAGCACAAAGTTATGAAAAAGTTATGAAGATTTAGACTATCCTTACACTATTCCTTCTTTCATAAGGTGAAAAACTATATGACCTCTTTCATAAAAAAAAATATTTAATTGTAAACTGTATTGCACACATAAGAACATGTTCTCCAGCTTCCAAAATTATTTTCCAATGATGCTAAATAATACTCCCTGTCATATTTACTTAGATATTATATTAAACTAATAAATTTGTTGATGAAATATTGCATAATGAAAAAGGAAATATGTTTATTTTTCTAATAACTTCCATGTTTTTTAATCAGTTCAATGTGAATTCAATACAACCAATCTTCTCTTGGTACTCTTTCCCTTATTGAAATCAATTCCTCAAAAAGGAAGGCAATAATTTAAAAAAAAAAAAAAAAAAAAAAAAAAAAAAAAAAAAAAAAAAAAAAAAAAAAAAAAAAAAAAAAAAAAAAAAAAAAAAAAAAAAAAAAAAAAAAAAAAAAAAAAAAAAAAAAAAAAAAGAATGTAAATGTCTGAGTTGCAGTCAGTGGAAATAATCATAGAATTATAGAATGTTTGGGTTGGAAGGAGCCTTAAAGATCATCTTGTTCCAACCCCCTGCCATGGGCAGGGACACCTTCCATTAGACCAGGTTGCTCAGAGCCTCATCCAACCTGGCCTTGGACACTTGCAGGGATGGGGATTCCATAGTCCCCTTCCATTTTTGGGACTGACTGTCTGGGAGTTCTGCCTTCACACCTGAGCAAAAGTAGAAGCTCCTCCCAAACAAACACTTGGAAGTGACGCATCTTTAGAACCCCCAAACTGTGCAGTTCTGAGTCTGGCCAGGCATCAAATCTGGCTTCTGCTTTTAGCAGAGTGAACTGCACAACTTCCCTCAGGGTTGGAAAACTGATGCTCAGTGGCTGTTTGAAGCACTTGGGATGATTTCTTTGTCCCTCATGGTAATCTCATAAGTAAATGTCAACTTCTTGACTGAGTTCATAATCGAAGAGCTATGAATTATAGGACACCTGTTTGTGATTTAACAAGAAACGATATAAAATAGTGTCATACAACATACAGAAGTAAACAGCTTTCACAATTCCTTGATGTTGGAGAAAAGAGTCAATTTTTGGTAATTTGCATGATGATGATGCACTACAAATTTCAAAGATAGAGTAAGAGATCCTCCCAGGTGACTACAGGACTCGATGCAATGTTGAATCCTGAGTGATGAGAGAAGTTGTGCTGCCAGACCCCACACTGTCCACTTACACCCCCTTTATTTTTACAGAATAATTTACACAGAGCCACAACTATTGTTGTAAAGATAATCCCCCACCAGAGCCAAGACATTCAAATGGAAATTCTCTGTGGGGTGATATCAAACACTGTGACTGATCCTTTAGACATGCAAGGCAACAAATTTTCTGGGGCAACACGACTGGTTAATTGTTATAGAATTCATTTTGGGGGCTTTTGACTTGATCCACTTACATGTCCAGTTTCATACTCTACCACATAATTCAATAGTAGGAGGAAATTCTATTCAATCAATTGGCCAAATATTATTGTATACAATTTCAGGTTCAGGATTCATCTTTTAGGTTCAGGATCTTGTCATTTTGGAAATATCCTGTTTGATGGTTTATTTTTAAACGTCCTCAAAAGGAAAACAATTTCCTGCATAGGAATTCAAAAAGTGAGGGTTATCTAAAGAAAAGTGGTGTACATTGTGATAAACTATTCTGTCAACACTTGAGCTCAACTTCATAATTCTTCATTCCTGTGAAGGATATATTACTCTGGATTGCTTTCAGACAGGATTTTTTTATTATTATTACTTTTTTTTATTTTATGAGCGGAGCAGAGTTAGGATTTGTTTTTCTACTCTTCTCAAAGGAGTGATGTGAGCAGGATCTGCATGGCTCTAGAGCTGTAGGTACTGAGTGCAACCCAGTGTGCTCCTGCCTGCCTATTCTGCTAATTGAGGCTGGGACATAGCAGAATGTTATTGATTCTCCTTTGACTCTTCCTTCCTTCTCTGTTGTCTCAGCCTGTTCCAAGTCGTTCAGAAAAATGTAGCTCCAGCAGCAGAAGCTTCACACATGTCAGATCCAAAGCAAGACATAACAGAATTAGCAGCATCAACTTCACACAGATGAAGATTCCCTCTAGCACAAGGTGTATTCTCCAGGTGTCAATCTGGCCAGTTAAGTTCATTTTGTATTGACTGAACTTAATGGGCTATAAAATCTATTTCATTATAAGTAATTCTTCTTTAAAGCTAGAAGGTAAAAGTGTTTTCTTCTCCCTTTTAAAGCCAACACCAAAAAGTCCCATGAGTTTCCTTGAAAACTGACCACATTCTTTTCTGTCCCTGTGCAATGCCATCTTCTTCACTTAAAATAGTATAAAATTATTTTAATCAAAACCCCTGCTTCCTTTCCAAAATAACACTGCAATCAGGAAAGGACATTTATGGACAATATTCTCCTTTCGTGGACTCATGAATTCATTCTCTGCTTGTTCTCCTCAAATCCACTGGCAAGCCATCAGCCATGCCAGTATGTTCATCTGTGAGCTGCTCCTTGAAAGCATCTGAAGGCCAGAATAAAAGCAATGGATCAAAGATGCTTGGCTGAAGGAATTTGTCTGGGGAACAAGCCTTAGGAAAGAATTCCCATCATAATGGGAAAGATAAGGTCACTAAAACTCGATCCTAGAAGTAGCTACTATAAGGAAAGAGAGAAAACCACCTTGAAGACAGGAAGAACCTTCCATGCACTGAAGGCACCGGCCCAGAAACACTGAGGTGCTACAATGTTTGGCTGCTGTTTCCAGTTCCCTTGGTCAGCCAGGTTGCAGTTGAGGGTGTGGAGACACCGAAGAAACCCCACACAGAAACACAAATGCCTGTGCTAAACTGGGTTCATGTGATTTTCACCTGAAATGGTGAAATATCACCTTTAATAACAGTAGCATCCATGAAAGAGCTTGTCTTCAGAATTCCTGCTTACTGATCAGCGTTCCTTGGGGTTTTTTCACGTGTTGCAGGCATTTCTGACATTTGAATGTGCCACATTCCTATGCCATCTGAAAGGTACAGCTGCACTCTCAATCTTCACTCGAAGGCAACCTCACCACTGAGAGCTTTTCTGAGAAATGGCAGCCTGTGTCCTCATCCAGAAGTGTGATTCCTGAATGGAGTGCATGTAGATGATTTCAGCTGAATGGGTGTCTTCTAGAGGTAGAATTTTACATCTTTTACACTGAGTTCCTATTTTCGTTGTGTGACAGCAAAAGCCTGAGTCTATTTATTCAAGTACCACGTGTCTGAGCCTACAGGCTTTGCATGCTTCTGCCTAGCCAAAATACCTCGCTCCACTGCTGAAATCTAATTGAAAGAGTTCTGTGTAGTCTCATTATGAATTATTCTGTGTTATGCTAGGAAGGCTAGAGGTTGTGAAACTAGTTATATCAGCAAAGCTGGCATCTGATTTCATTAGCTTGCTCTGTAATTGCCTTACATTTGATGGGCCTGATAGTACCACTCCTGCTCAGAGAAAATTTCCGTTGCCTTTGTTTCAGAGCTGTCAGTTCTCTTTGGGAGCTTATGGCTCTGTCATCCTGCACTTCGTACTACAGCGAGTATCTGGCTGCCAAAAATATCCCAAGCAGGTAGGGTGGAACAAGGAGCATGGACATGCCATAAGTATGTCTTACAGGAAAACACTTGTACTAGTCTGGTCACCTCCAGAAGCAGAGCACTCCACTTTAGACCATTTTACAGTCCTTTCATTCCTGGCCAGTTTGCCCGGTAGAAACACTGTCATTACAAGGCGTGTCTGCTCTGCCCAGCAGTGTCCCAGGTAAAGCAAGACCAGGAGGTCTCCATGACACTACACAGAGCCAGATAATGATACTTGTGAGAGCAGAACACAAGGGTCAGTGCAGGTACACAGAGACAAGTGTTTCTCGTGCCATCCTCTCCTAGAAACCTTGACCTATGTGGAGTTTTCCAGCAGGATTTTGGGAAGGGAACAGACCAGTATTAGTGTCTCTTTACCTTAGCTATTTTTTGAGCATTTATGTCAATCACTGCAGTACTCAAATAGCTGATCAACAAGTTTTGTCTCTCTGCCAGTGGGAAAGCAGAACGGAAATGGGATCCTCTGTCTCTGCCATTCACAGGGAGAAAGATGCCATATACCAATTATTAAGCTTCACCTAGATTTATGGCATGTGTTTGCCATGCAAAATGAAGACATTATCCACAAAGATTCTATGATTTATTACCTGGAGAGGTGATGCATCACTGAAGAAAAGGAAACGGTGAAGGAATAACAAAAGAGAGAGTTAAACATAGGCAGCAGCAAGGTGGCAAAGGTTTTCCTCCTTTGCCTACAGGAATTATGCTTCCTAATCCATGCACCTCTTTTAGCTCAAGGAAAGGAATTGGAATTCATAAGGATTTCTGCAAGCAACCTCAAATTGCAGCTGGAGGTCACATTCTTCTATCAGTTCCTTATCACTCTTCTCCAGTTCAGTGTAATATTTGCCAGTCTTTTCCTCCTTTCAAATTCTCTGAGTCTCTGCAGAAAGTATGTAATGAAAACTAATATATCCACCATTTCTGGAAAAGTTGTGAACTTTAGCCTGCCATTTTTTTCCATAGTCAAGGAGATCACAGGATTCCTTCTTCTGGAGTTTCAGAAGATGTGTGCTTGGGCTCCTCCTGTGCCATTGGCTGAGCTGGAGCAGGCAGAGCTCCTGGGAATGTCAAGCACTGGACCATAACAGCACCACTAAGAATCACAGCACTATCAAACACCTCCCAAGAAATCAAATTCAAACCTCTCAAACTGTTGGGATAAGAATAATACAACTGTCCAAAATACATCACATTCTGTAAGAGCTCTCCAGCTCCTTTTAAATCTGCTCTTTGAAAGTGTGCATGAAAGCATAAAGTTACTGGCACCTTTAGCAGAAC